TCGTGTTCGGTTACGGAGCAACTACTGGCAACACCTGCCGGGAAAGAAGCTAATAACGCAGTAGAAACGACTAAGAGCAACGAGAGCACTATGGAAGACGTTGATAATGCCAATAGTAGTAATGCTGGCGATATCTGTGGATCAACCGTTCTTCCAGAAGCAGAAGCGACTATATCTGCTAGCCCAGGAGAGTATGAGGGAGGAGACGAGGATGAGGGCGAAGAAGAAGTACCTGCACCGAAATCGAAGCCTGTGACGCATATAAAAAGCGATTCAAACGAACGAACTGAGAAGGCAGAAGAGAATGAACCAGAAAAGAAACTCGAAGATGATTCCTCCGTTCCCTTTTTGCAAAATCCGATATCTGAATCGAAATCGCGTATCCTGCAAGAAGGTACACAAAGACCGGAATGTGAAGCTGAGGGAGATTTGGATAAGGGCGAGGCTGAAGGAGAGGACGAAAGCGGTCACGAACGCCAAGGTGATGGCGAAACATTAGTGGAAACAGGGGAGGGGAAAGAGGAAGAAAATAAAATTATGAAGGGTGAATCCGATAAAGCTTCGGAGACTGAGAAAGCAATTTGTAGTTTGGAAACGTCTAAATTGGTACCTGACCTTCTTTCGCCTAAGGAAGAAGAAATCGAGAAATTGAAAGCTGTTAATCAAGATGTAGGTAGCTGTAGAGAAGATGATGGAATTTCCGATCGATTAATGTTAAAAAGTTCGAAAGAGGAGTTGACGAGGCCAAAGATAGAAACTTCTCCCGCAACGCCCACGGAGAGAAAGGAATCATCCTCTGCTGTTTCGAATATCGCGTCGCCTGAAACAGGGCCGCTCACGCCACAAGAGAAAGTTTTGCCTGTTATCGAGCAGCAAGAAACCACTATTCATCTTCAAACACACTCTGAAGAATTGAAACAAAATTCGCCCGAGAGTGGCAAGACAACGCCTCATTTGGACAATCCTGGTTCGGTGAAACGAACACCCCCTTCGCAACCAGATTTGCCGTCTATGGGAGTTTACACTCCTGATTCGACCACAAATTCGGTGCATTCGTTGCATTACGGTCAATGTGATTTGGATGTTAGCCAGTTAGGACTGGAGTCCCCCACGTCGATTGCTAGCGATCTCGCGTCACAGAATAGCGTAGAAAGACCACCAAGTGCATTACCATCGATGCCACCGTCTGTTTCCGTTCCAATTTCGGTTTCCATGCAAATAACTACGCCGGTTACGTCTGCCGCCGTAAATATCTCGCCGCAAGTACAGTACGCCGATTGTTCGATGCCCCAGCATACTCCATCGACGCACGTTAATATCCATCCGATGCACCAGCCACATACACCGCAGCCTCTTCAACAGCCACGTACACCTCAGTCGCACACACCTCAAAGTATACAAACGCAAAGTCCTCAGCCTCTTCCACAGAGCCATACGCCGCAACCGTTACCTCAGTCTCACACACCACAGCCTCTTCCTCAATCTCATACGCCGCAAAGTATTCCGACGCAGAGTCCTCAACCAATGCGGCAGAGTCATACGCCGCAACCTTTGCCACCGTCTCACACGCCTCAACCGATGCAGTTGTCTCTGGCCCAGCAAACGCAGAATCAAAGCATGACGCATGGTCAATCTCAACAACAGTCTCAACAGCAGTCTGCGCATCAACAGCAACAACAGCAGCAATCGCAGACGCAATCTCATAGTAACAAAAGAGCCAGTGGTTCGCAAACGACCCATAGGTCGAGATCGACTCAGCAAAGTAGCAGATCGCATCGAACCACGCCTCCTACGTCGCATGCTCAAGCCACATCTCAAGGGCACACAACCTCTCACACGAGTCATACGAGTTCCCACACAAGCCATACGACGATAGCGCATACGACGCACGTACCACCGCAGTATCAGCAGTCCTCGTCGATGAGCGTACCACCCGTTCCACATCCGCATTCTCATACACACGCTGCTCATTCGCACAATATGGCCGTTATCTCGCAAGGGAACTATATGGCTGTTGCTTCGCAGACCTTCCCAACTCAGAACACGTACGTGATTCAACATCGAAGCAGCAGATCCGGTGCACCCACACCATGCACCACAGCGACGAATTTTTACATTCAGACGAGCGCTATGCCGCCGCATTCGCACACACCGGCACCCTCTTTGTCAGCTTCTGGAAATCACCAAACCACGAATTCGTGCAGTCTAGCAAAATTACAACAACTAACGAATGGATTGGAGATGATACCTCCAACACCTCCACCAGCGATGAATTTAACGCCACCACCTCCTATACCGCACACTATGACACCGCCGCAAACATCGAGGCAATTACCGACGCCGCCTCAAGTACCCCTTGGTTACGCGAAAAATTATTATAACGTCAATACGGTTCCGCCTTCTACTCCCGGACCACCCAGTAGATCGACCTCGAGGTCATCAGCGAATGCAAACATGGCGTCTCTGACTCAGCCGTATCCAAGCGAAAGCTTATATCGCCAGACTCTCGATCCTGGAAGTACCTGTCCTCAAATGCAGAGCGCCGCCAGTCGGGTCAGTCCCAACGTGGCGATAAACACGAATCTCATGGCCCAGTATGGTTATCGAGTGGCACAACCTGCTACCGGCTACATGAATCAAGCGGCTCAACTCGGTGGCTTCATGAATCAAGCTAGCCAGTTACCTGTCGGAGTCGTTAATGTACCTGCACCGTATCCTCAGGATCCTCATCAACAAAATCCAGCAGCGGTGTATACGACGTACCACGGTTACATAAATGGCGGTCTTATGCAGCCTCTGAATAGTTCGATGAGGCCACGTTAGCCCCACTCATCTAAGCGCACATTCTCTCACTTACAATAACACGAGGCCGCAAAAGAAATGGACTAACAATGATTGCTTCATTTTGGACAAGTTAATGCTCTCTTCTATACGAACTCTGGCAACTTTAAAAAACATGTTATCTATCGAGAGACTTTTTGCCTCCTTGCATTCGCTTCCACAGTCACCCTCTGGACGTGCATACTGTTTTTTTATCTTTCTCCCACCAATATTTTATTATTTTTTAACGTACGACCACTGACGTATGATTTTTCTTTTATGTTGTGACTATTTCACTTTTTAATACACGTTTTAGCACTTTTGCTCCTTCTTCCTCTACTGTTACTGTTAACACGTAGTCGCGTGCACGCGCTTATATAAAATCCATCAGTCGTCAAACGCTATAAAAAAAAGAATTGTAACTTCAAGACCCACAAATATTAAAGAGTTAACGGAAGCGCTTGCATCGTAAAGATTAAAGAGCTCGTATTAAACGGATTCTTAACTTGTTTTGGAATGCATAAATGAATAAAACCGAGTGTGAATATGCGAATGCGCGCGCGCGGAAAAGAGCAGAACATATGTGTATGTACGAATTATAATCATAGTATGGAATAGTACACTACGAAACTTGGATTCGTGTCTTGTGCATTTAAATGCGATTAACTATTCTACCTTGAATGTGATCTGTCGATCAGTGAATATACATATATATACACATATATACATATATATATATGTGTGTGTGCACGCGCGCGCGTATCATTTAGGCAAACATGCATGTATGTATATACTGTTTATGGCTCAGTCCACAATCGACAAAACGAATACACCTATTTTTAGTAGGGCATTCCCATCCGAAATTGCAACGGTGTTACGTTTTGTGTATAAATAGTGTATATATATATATATATTATACATATATATATATATGTGTGTATATATATGTACTACACATAATATTTGCAAAGAATATTCTGTTTGATATTATCGATTGTTAAACGTTGTTATTTACTTTTTCTTCGAGGCACGCTGTACTTTACTGTATCATAAAAATAATTGTACTACTATTATAATAATTATAATTGTATTATTGCAAATTAATTATTATGATCGCCAACTCGTTCATTACCATTGATCGGTAATCTTCTTTTATCGTCAATGTGAACATAGTGTTTCTCATTGATGATTCTTTATAAGATATCATTCTTGCCGTCGTCAATTGTCTTCGTCGTTGTTATATTTCTTATTACTATTGCTGCTATGATTACTATTATTACAGTTATTACCATTGTCATCGTCATTCTCGTCATTATCGTTATGGTCATGGTTATGATGTCATGATTATGCTCGTCACCATTGTCATCGTTATCATCATCATTATTATTATTATTATTATTATTATTATTATTATTATTATTATTGTTATCATTATAATTGCTATTCTGCCATTGTCACCATCATTATCATCATCATCATCATCATCATCATCATCACCATCACCATCACCATCATCATTATCATCAACAACAATAACAACAATAACAAGAACAACGTCATCGTCATTTTCATCTCACATTAATACGAATATCATTTTACTCAAACCCTATGCTCCTTAATTACGTGCACAGATGCAGGAAGAAATACGCGCAAGCGTGCGTGCATACACACACACGTATATTCATTCTTTATTCTCTACTGTATGTAATATTTTTATTTTCTATTATTGAACGAGAGGGCACATACTAGTTTCGGAAAGAATGATACATGCGTAAAAATGCTCTTCCACGGAGCGTCGCAAAAATTATGCTGAAATTATTTTTTGTATCAAATTATAAGGGGCGAGATGTTGATTCGTTCGACCTCTGTATGGGAAATGTAAAATGGTGCTCGTTCATGTACGTTCAATTGTAATTTCCCTCTTATCCACGACGCTTCGGGGAATGGTCGCGAACAAATAATATATTTATAGTATATTACGAATTTAATTTTTTCAGACGAGACTATAAAAGCGAGAGGCAAGGGAATTTGCCTAGTTTTTAGCATAATTCTTGAACGATAAAAAAGATCATTGATAGTGTATAAATACATCAATATTTATTGTACATAGAGTTAAAAAAAAAACTACTAACAAATAAAAAGGAATCAAAAATAAAGGCTTCACGATGATATTTTGTACGAATAAAAAACTTGTAAGAACTTGTGTAGAAAGCGCGTGCTTAACTCAGCACTCAGGAAGACGAACTTCGCACTTATATAATTTCGTTTTTATCTTATAACGTTTCATCAACGTGTGTGTTCTATCTTCCTTTCCTTCTTCTAAACAAAAATATATAGTAATTTATCAGGCTATCGATGATAAATCAATCGATATGTAGAGATACACATACTTATAAAGTTTTAAGATTACCTTAACTTTCGTTTCCTTCTTTGCTCTTCTCGTCTTTTTTTCTCGGCGTTTGCCAACTGTACGTATTTCTTTCTTTGTTCCGGAGTCATTTGTGTCCATAATTTTCCAGCTGCACGAGCAATCACGGTTACGTGTTCCTTTGGCTTTTTACTCCGTAACCGTAGAAAGAAGATGATAAAAGGATTAGTCGCACGACATTTTATTATCTCTTTTCCACTGGTTCGGGATTCGGAACCATTTACAAATTTTTTAGTTTTTCGTGGACGATCACCTACGCTACCCAAAGGTAAAACATATAAAGTACGTTTTTATGTATTATCTTTCATAATTGAACAAACCCATGTTGGAAAGAACATCCTTACCTACCACGAATTTGAATAATATGAATTTAAGTGAATCGAAAATAAACGCGAGAACAGAATGTGTCGAAAATTGTCTTACCTGTCACCACTTTCTCGTTTTTGTCCTTTTCTTTTCGATGAATGCGTGGACCCGGTGTTTCCCATTCTCTTCGCAACTCTGTCACAATTGTTTAATAAATTCTTGTCGTAGGCCGCATTACTTGACAATTTTTTCCAAAAACTTTTCATAAAAAGTGAAGTTGAAGTGACATTGTCAACTTGAAGCGTACTTTCCCTTGTTTCGGTGGGAAAACAAATGAGCAACAAAAATTTGTATTTTTGAATTAACTTTTTGTATGGTTACTTCACGGGATATTAATTAAAAGCGTGAAAAACAAGGAGATACCAGTTAGATAGACAGAGAAAAGAAAAGTAGATTGAATAATAATCAGAAAAAAAACTTATATTTCTATGTGTATCATTAAGTATATACAATATACGTATATACATATTTGTTTAAAAATATTAATACAATTCTCGATAAAATAATATTTTATAAAAAAAAAATAATATTTGTCATGTATGCAATGTAATGGTAAATACAAAACGTATTTATTTACTAGAAATTCACAAACGAGGTATGAGGATAATTAGCATCTTACAAATGTTAAGTATTCTATAAAATTATTTCTACAATTCTCCACCAGCTTGAGCAGCTTTTTTCGGTTTCTTATTCCATTTATCTCCACAGTAGCAAGCATTCTTCTGCGCATCCATGTAACTCTTGCATCCCAAAGCAGTTGTACCGGTAAAAAGCATTTTCGCAGCAGCTTTGCACGTATTTATTATCGCAGCCGATTGATATCCATCGCAATATTTGTACAGACACCTCTTGAATTCTAAATCACATTTCTCCTTATCCAAATTACAAGTGTCATAACAAATGTCATGCGCATCACAACATTTCGTCATTTCCGCAAGTGGTAGGTACTCCTGGTTTATCTAAAATTATTAAGTCGATTAAAATTTCTTCATATATTTTGCATATATAAAAGCATGTATTTTAGAAAATTTGCCTACTTCAATTCCTAAAGAACCACATCCGTTACTTTGAGGTTTATGATTCCAATCTGGTTTCGGTGTGACCCCTGAAATCGTCACAAACTGTTTGCTTTACAATCTTTTTAAGCAATAACCAATTAAATTTAGCTACTGTTTGTCCGTGAGAAGAAGGCTAGGCAAAGGAATGTGGGTCTTATTGGTTATCTCTGATAATACCAATAAAGTCGTACAGATAAGCACACATATTGGCCGAAAATGTTGTATATCAAATAAGATTATATAGCAACACGTGATTGTAGTGAAGGAGGGAAATAGTTCCTTGCATCTATATTGTCCCATTAGTCATCTTCTCATGTACACAGTATATCGCGTTAGGTAGTTTTTGGTATAGTTAAATTCCCTTTAATGAGATATGATCGTGAATATATCTCAATACAAGTTTGTTGAGGTTGTTGTAATCAAATTATATAATGTACCAAGATGGATACAAAAATTATACATACATACATATAATACATACAGGATATTATGACGTGTTATCATCGTGTCATAGTTTGACCATTGATATCGTGTTTTGAGATCGACTGTTAGCAATTGAGTGTAAAGCGTAAAATGTAAAATTTTGATGTTGGGGACTGAGTTAAAAAGTATAATGAACGAATGATAGGTTAAACATGTACCTCCTGGGCATTGAAAGATACAGTTCTCTTCCACCGCTGCATCGAACACTTCGTGTATATCCTTAATTTTCCTAGCTACGGTAATTGCATTTTCAAATAAATCTTGAAATACCGATTCTGCTGCTAATACAGCATCCTTTAAATTTGATAATAAACCAGCACCGTAGCCTGACCACGCGTAAGCCAGAAATGTCAAAACGTAAACTAGAGCTTTCCGATATTGAGAAAAATCCATTTTTGTATAATCCTAACGCACTTACTGATACACTGTTCCACTCGTTTGTCAGGATATTTTTAGGTAAATTGACTCACATAAAGGTATACTCGATCGCGGACACGTGGTGACAAACGATGAAATAGTTCCCACAATATATGTACTTTCATCTTGTAATGTATATATGTACTTACTACTCTGTTCAATAAGTTCCAGGACTGTTTCGTTTACAAGAAACAGTCAAATGCTACAATGCTAGATATGTCTTTTCGTCCTATTCGGCTATTACACCTTTTTATAACATAATATGTGTTACCAGCTTCATATTGGTCAAATTTAAATAGTTTGCATACAGCAGTTTCTATTAAATGAGATTTAAGCTCACTCAAATTTGAAATTTATTGAGTAACACCTGAATCATTGAATTGAGTAACACCATGAATAATGGCAATACACCGGGTGATCTACACCTCAAATTTCTATGTTCGCAATATTTTGGTTAAAAATTCAACAAATATCATTCTGCATACACGGTACTCACGACCAGGATCCCTGCCATATTTCTCAATTTTCCCGATTTAAAACAACATTACGGAGACGTCGATTTCAATTTATTGAAATGATAAAACAAAATTTGCAGAAAGAGTTAAATAACATCACGGAAATTGAGTTTTTAGAATGTTTTGGAACATAAAGAAAACATCGGGAAAAATATATTGTAAGCAATGGGAGTTACTCTGAAGATGAAAAAGTAGAATTGATGAATAAACAAGTAGCTTGTGTTTCATCGGGCTTGCCCTAGAATTTTTTGAACAAAGTAGTACGTACATGCATATGCTCATTTAAATGAAAATTATAAATGATTTTTTATGTAAATAAGAAGTGACCACGTATTTTTTAAATTTGATTGATGGCAATTACTTCCAATTACTATTACTGTAGAAATAGAAGGATAATTATAACATTCCTTACCATGTAAATAATAGCCTTTATTAATTCGAAAAGAAAGTCAACAATACAGAATTTAAAAAGCGGAATCATAAATATTTCAGGTAATGTAGAGTTGGATAGTATGAGTTAATATATTAAAACATTTTTTGTAGTTCTCCATTCTCATACAATTTTTTTACATCTGTTCCACCACCCAAGCACACTCCATTCACAAACACCCTGGGTACTGTTCTAGCTCCAGTCATTTCTCCCAATATAGATTGGATTTCATCTCCATCGTCCCTTTCATTCAATTCAATAGCCAGGTATTTTTTATTCATTTTATCAAAGACCTAGAATAAAGTCACATTAATTGAAGTTAGAATAAAAATAAGAAAATTATTTGCTTAATACCTGTTTAGCCATTTTGCAATATGGACAAGTGGTCTTAGAAAAAATCACAATGCTGTGAGATCCAATGAATTCATGAACTTGATCTTTCGTTGTAGGCATAGCGACTTCCTCTGCTCTGGAAATTGATAGATCCATCATATTAAATTGGTAAAATCGTTATTATAATAATATAACAGTACACTTGGTCTTGTATTCTAACTTCTATTTTGATTACTTATTATACAGAAATTAAATTTATCTCCATGTCGTTTTGCTACATTTCTTTCAAATTAAAAATTTGCGAATTTTACTACCTGTCTCATAATTTTTTTCGCCGACTATGTAAGTTGTATTCATTTTAAGAATTATATTTAACATGTCACTAATAAAACCTAAAGAAATTTTATACATGTTCATTTCCAATTTTTAGTTTAAGATGAAATATGCATTTGATAGGCGTGAGAAAAATGATTCACTCTCTCCAGTGTGAAGTTTTCTTTTTTAGCTCATTATTTTGTTACTTAAACAAAATACTGTCACTGAAGAAATCGATTTGTTCCAAAAGAGATCAATTATTTAAATACAAAGTTTACAATTTCTGATACTTACATTTCTTGATTCTACATTAGCTTGTTAAAAAATGATACTATCGTAAATTTGATACATACATACGCATATATTGCAATATAAAAAATATCGGTGTCGACTTTTCTATTTTAATGTAAAAGGTTTGATATATATATGTGTGTGTGTGTGTATGCATTATATATATACACCTTTTATTTTTTTAGTGGCTAACAATACTTACAATTATTCTTTAAAACTCGTCTAATGTTCGAACTCGTTGTACATATGGTAAATGATGATATATCTTATCCTATACTTACACTTTATATCTTATGCTATACTTATACTTTATCTTGTATTAAGATAATTATCTTATGTAATTTAATATCTATTTGTTTTTACTACTACTTGATGATATTAAAAATTTATATCCTTTTTTATTCTTCTTCCCTGATTTATATATTTTATAAAAATTTTGTTAATGACGTTGTTTATGAACTGACATTAATAAAATAATTTCCAAACGGGAGCATGGGACTAATTTTTAGGAAACTGTGAAATGAAAGTACTGTTTTTGAAAATTAAGGGTTCCATGAAAGTTAGCAAGCAGAATTTAAGTGTCTAAAAAAGTATTAGATAATTTATATTAATATGATTACAAGCATCGATGATTTTTAATTTATTTGCTAGGTGGTGTATAGATGGCGCAAGTGCGAGTTGTAATGGCACAGTTTTGAACGCCTCTTCAAATTGACAATTCGACGACTATCGTGTTGAGTGTTCCCTTGACACTTGACGTTACAGATTATTGAGTATTTTCTAAGGTTTCTCTGGAGTAAAGATGGTGTAAAGGACAAGTGTTGTAAAAAAGATGGGCAGAATCGTAGAAATGGCCTATCCGGGAGGTGGCTTATACGTTGTCGAGGGTGAGCTCTGCCTCCTGGTAACGGCTATGAGACGAAGCGCTCGATGGTCCTCTCACTCTCATCAGGTTAGAACGATCTTTGTTATCCTAATTCTTTTTATGAGAAAACATATGTTCCATTTCGTACAGTTATAATCTTATGTCTATCAATTGAATTATTAATTATATTTACATATACGCGTGTCATTGTCACCTGGATATATTTTGACCATTATCAAGGCAAACAGGTTGTAGTAAATAGAATAGTAGTAACATATAGTAACGGATGTTAATATATTATAATGTAATTGTTTGAATTGAAATTGTTATACATTTTTTAATCTTAATCTGCATTTTTTGTGGTTATTTTCAAGGATGATGATCAGGATACTCTTATAAAAGGATTATATAGTTTAAAAGAAGCACTAAATGAGGCAAAAGATTTATCTTATTTGGAACCAGGTGTGTTTCTGGCACCATTTCTGGAAATTATAAGATCAGAAGAAACAACTGGACCTGTTACAAGCCTTGCTTTGTCTGCTGTTAATAAAATCATATCTTATGGACTCATAAGTATGTCAGAAATGGAAAGACAGCGGGATTTCCTGTCAGGAATGTTGGGAAAAACTCCAATATACTAGTCCAGACTTTTACTATAGCCGCCCTTAAGTAATAAAAATAAGAAATAGTCTTAATGTTCCAATCTGACTTTATGACGATGGGTTTGGGCTCGAAGTGACATGGCGGGTCACTGGACATAACCACGGTCACGGGAGGGACATGTATCTAACAGAGGTATGAAATGATTATATGGCTCTCCTTAAAAACAAAGATAAGCGGTAAGATAACCCGATAAGCGGGGACAGGAGTATATAAGGGCAGCCTCTTTTGGATTAAGAGAGTTAGAGTGTTAGAGTTGTTGGACGAATTGCAGTATGTTGATACTTGTCCTCCCGTGGATCGTGGATTCGTTATCAAACCTGAATTCGTTGTCACCATCATCTTGACCATCCTATTACCATTACTCATAGCCTCTTGTAGTGTCCACATTCGTACTGGTAAATATTGGCTACATTCGCGACGGTAAAGTAAGTAAAGGTTCATCGAACGCCCCAAAATGCCAACCTGACTCCGACATCAGAAGTGGGATCAGTGTCGGTTATAACACGGCAAGAGCTTACGACTGATTTCGCTGCATGATGTGCAGCTATGAATTTGATTAGGGAAAAAATCCTTAGAAAGCAGTGCCCTGAATATAATTTCAATAACGAGCGTCGAATCGATTTCTACATAGTAGAAGCATCCACTGATGGATCAAGTCATCCGGGTGAGTCGTTTCCATTCCACCCTGATTTTTGGAGTCAAGTGTTCATTGATTAAAGAATCCGTAGTCTTGAGATTTTCCGGCAAAAGAACGATTGATATAGTTGTAATGTGGTGGATGAGAAATATTTGTACATCTCGACTCTTGTTCGTTGCCGGCGTTAGTGGTTTTGCATTAGAAATAAATTCGTCATGTCCTCACTGATAGTTATTTTAAAATATGATATCGCGATTGATTGTAAAATTTCAAGTCAAGGTTTTGACATAATATTACACAAAATAGCCTCACTATGTGTAAGACAAATAATTAGTGCCTGTAATAAAACTGCCGAAGACGAGATCGATGTTACTGAAGTGACAATGGCGGGCAGGGTAGTGATAAAAGTCGATTAATCTTTCTTTTCGAAAATTCAAAGATTCACTCGGTACGGGTTTCCTACATACTCGCGTAAATACAGGCCAGTTAGAACTACAATTAAGTGATCCTAACATCGCCGTACAAAGAAGTCCTAATAGATTTCGCGAGGAAGAGCGCAGAAGAGTACATGAGAGAATAAGCGAATTTATTAGAGCCAACTATCATAAGGCCTAGTAATTCGCCGTTCGCGAGTCCTATGTTACTCACGAAGACGAAAGATGGTTCAGGTAGATGATTGGTAGATTTTCGAGAACTAAATGAAAATACGGTTCCGGATCGGTATCCTTTACCCCTTATTGCGGATCAAGTCGCGAGATTGCAAAAGCAAGATATTTTATTAGTCTGGACTAGTGTATTGGGGTTCTTCCTAACGGGACGGAAAATCCCGTTGTCTTTCCATCTCCGACAAGTATATATCCCTTATTTTATCCATTAAAGATATTTTCAGAAACATGTATTAGAATATTATTGTTTTCACAGATTCTGATCATCCTGCAATAGCACAATGTGTAGAATCAATTGCAGATGCTGTTACGCATGCAAGATTTGTTGGGACTGATGCATCAGGAGATGGGGTTGTTTTAATGAGAATACTCCAGGTCTTGAGAGCTCTTATGCTATCACCAGCTGGAGATTATCTTTCGAAC